TGCAAACTACAATTTTGTGTGAGCGTTTTTCTATTCATCTGTTAACGGGAAGAAGATCCCACACAAATGTATGTACTTCTGAATGTAAAGTCCTTTTAACGGAAAAGGATACAGCTCTGACCATGAGCTGCAGCATTTTGTCTGAAACTGTTTAGGTCACGAGTATCACTTCAACGTAATTTTGTTTGTAATTCTTTGTTGTCCCGTGGCATGACCTTTTCTCTCTAATATCTTTTAAAGAGGCGTCCGTCAAAAAATTGGCGATGCCACCACCATGAACTCGGGTACTTGTGCAGAAATGCATTTAACTTTGGCGTGAGCGAAGCCTCTGCCGTTGTGTCGAGCAATGCGTTGCTGGTCTTCCATCAATCCAATGCCCTCGGCTAAATGAATACGGATCCACAGACGTGTACATCACACAAATATTAACAATGTGGTTGAAATCTTTGCTGCCAATGGAGTCACTTCAACGCCCGTTAACAGCACTTGTGTGGCAGTTACATTTTGACCAGAGGCTCTGAAAGGCATTTTACCTGAGTTAGATGTCTTGTTTCAACAAACAGAGAGGACCTTCACCCCCCTCCCCCACCCTGCTTCACCCTCCCCCTCCGCCTACCTCCCCTGCATCATGCAGTCCACATCTTGTCCCGAAAGAAGTCAACAATCGAGATGGTTCTTTGGTCCTTGGTCCTTTACGTGTTTTGCTTCGCTTGGTTTCGTTTCCAGTTAATGAGGACATGTTTGCATAGATCCTTTCTGAAGGAGTCTGAGGGACGTCTGCAGGGCGAGAGCCCTCGCTACCAAAGCTGCATTGTTGTAACATCAGTCAGAGAATCCCACAGGTGGTCAGCAGAGATGTCAGGGACGAGCTTGACACCGCTGCTGGCATCAGCTTTATGCTCCCAAAAACCAACAATCAATTATTGCTTTTTTGGGGGCCTTTTATCATTGCTGACCAGATATTTGTCTTTGGTGAAGGGACATTCAGTTCGATCAATCTTCGTGGTGCTACATCTAAACAGCATCACAGCCACGATGTCCAGCGTTTCACTTGTTTGTGCCTGTAATTGGGTTCAGATTAATTCAGGATGGGTGAGCGTATCTGGTTAGGAAGCGGCCAACACCTACTGGTTTTGTGTTTAACCATGTAAAACCTTTGTTATTTCATGGATCAGTGGGATGCAGCTGAAGGAAATGAAGCATTCAAACTTGCACAAAAGTGTTTTACATGTACACATACATTTGTGGTCTTTCAATCTATCCGGTTGGAGTTTGTTTTTTTTAGGTCTGGTGTTTTTATCAAGGATGATCAGGTTTTCTTTGCATTGTTGTTGTTTGGCGCACACATCTGCAGTTACTCAACCACAGAAAAATACGTACAAAATGAGGAAATGTGGGCATGATTAACAAATTCTATATATATAAGTGATAGTGATGTTTTCATGTGAATCACATGGCGGGTGTGATAGCCACCGTGCAATGCCGCTCAGTTTCAAAACGTTTGAACTTTGAATACATGTCCTCACACTTGAGCTGCATAAAGAAATCGTCAGAGCTTGTTGTTCTTGTTGCTCTCTGAAATGTCTCCATGTTCCTCTCTGACAAGGAGGAGGCGACCGGATAGGTTCAGCTGGCAGATTTATTCCTCGTTAAATTGTAAATTGAAGCAAAAAGAGAGAGGATGCTGCTGAATGTTTATTTCAGGGCTTCTCACCTGCTGCTTGGTTTGTTTGAAAACGGTTTTCTTGTTAAACTGCTGCATTTTTTTTTAAAAGTTCCAACACCTCTAATGTAAATACGTGATAACAAATTTCTAAAGTAATAATTCCAACAAATAATACTCTAAATTATTTTTTTCTCCTCCGGTTTTAGCCTTTGTAAACAATACTCCCTGGTTTTTTTTTATTCGCAATACATTTTATATGTTCATAGAATCTAAACAAAATGGAAATCGAGCAGATTTATTATCCAGAAAATACAAAGATGCCCACACTTGAATTGTAAACATAAAATGTTTCATTTTATTCACATGGTTTTCTCACAAATAATTAAATCTCTGAATTAAATTGTCTTTTAAATAATCAGCCAGTTCTCCAATGAAAAACAATCTATTGTAGTTGGCTTAGTAATACCTTCGTTAGAAATTGTCTAACAATTAAACTTAAGGGAATCATGATAAAAGAAAGGTCTAATATGAACAGTTTAAACAAAGATGTTTAAAGAATAATTACAGAATTCTAAGTGAAGGACACTTTGGGGGAATTCCACATAAAGCTACCAGTTTCTTTATATTATAGCAGATTCATTTAATATTTTTTGTTTATTCAAAAGATCAAAAGAAAAGTGGTGATTAGTTAGATCATGTCAGATTATAATAAAATACGAGTAATCCTTATATTTAACTTCACAGAGGTATGGCAGCTGCTGACCTGCTGATGCAGGTGTGTTGTTTTTAGATTGTGTTTGAGGTATTTTATTTACGCAACTAAACAGATTTGATCTATTTGCTGCAGTGGGCTTTTGGTCGATAACTGTCAGACTATTCTTGTTCATTTTAGTTTCACTATTACATTGATGGACATGCAGCTTCATTGTGAAGCTTGAGAAAACCCACCTATGATGTTTGTTATTTTGATATTAGGAGTGTAACATATAGTATGTGTAAACAACAAAATAAAAATTATCATTATCTCCAATAAAATAGTGTGAAATGCCCTCCTGCCCCCTCTCTGTTTCACATTGCTCTGGGGGTTTAGCCTGTGAGGTGCCTGACGAATTCAAACATAATAAACCCTACTTGTTTGAAAAGGCAGAGCTGTTTAATTTGTCACTCGGTGTGTTTTTGCTTCCAAACAAACACACTCAGACCTGCTGCTGTCATTTCACAACTCTAGGAGCCAAATTCCCCTCCGACACCTATTTTAGTCTCATGGGACATTTTTCTAAGCGTCATAGTTCGTCAAAGAATAGGAAAAGGAACATAACGCAGAGCGAAGCGGTAACGGATTTAAACGGAGAGATGTGCGGCGGTGATGAGTCACTGCTTTAACATCACTGCAAAAAGTGACCCACACTCGTTGTCCACTTGTGCACAGTCTCATTTTGAATGAAAACACAACAGAAAAAAAAGAGTTGAGGTTAATAGTTATTCATATTTTTTTAATTAGAAAATAATTTCGGCAATTTTCCGGAATCCTCTGCAGCTGAATCATGAAGCATGAAGGCAGACTATTTCATGGTGTTCAGGAAACAGCCGCATTTGATAAAGCTGCCAGGAATCGGGCATGACTTCGCTTCTTGTCTGATTGATTTGATTAAACTTTTTAATAGCGAGAAATACTGTTTCAAACCCCGAAACTGTATCAAATCATTAGATCCAAAGGATATTTCTTGCAGTGTGTGTGTGTGTGTTGGCGGGGGGGGGGGGGGGGGGGGGGTTGCTTTTCAAACTTCGGGTTGCGATGACTGATCCGCTCATGGTTTTGACATGAATGTATTTAATGTTTTTCCTCATAACGTGTAATGTTTCTAAACGGCGGCGCTGCGTTTCGATTTTATTCTGATACGGTAAATGAAAGCTTCCGGGGACGAAACGCGCCGCTGCTGCCTGAGATCCGCCTCAGAGGAGCCGCTGGCGTCACTGTTCTGCTGCAGGAGCTGCCGGAAAGGAGAAAAAGAAGTGCGTCTTTAGAAGTTATTTCATTAAAAAAAGTCTTTGAAAATGGTGAATGAACTTTGTTTAATATTGTTTCAGAAAGTTTTTTTTGGGGGGGGGGGTTATATTACCAGTCTTGTTTTAATATTTAACAGGATGGAAAACACTGAATTTATAGTGTGCAAAACAACTCTAGATCAACTCTACTAGAGGATTTTCTTTTTCTCTCATACAGAAAGAAGCAATATTGCCAGATTGAGTGCGTCCAGGTTGGCGTTTTGCAGTGCATGCCGCCGAGGATGATCTTTATTAACAGACCTGCTGCCTGTTATCAGCCATGTTCTTTCTTTTTGACACGACATGACATGACGCGCTTGTGACGAAGCAAACGTGACTGAAATCCGCCTGTGGTGAAATGCTGGAGGTGATGACTCTGAGATGCGTAAATGCGCAGTTTGGAGAGCAAAGCAGCTGCTGGTGCTGGATGAGAAGGAGGAGTATTCGGTGCACCTGTCTCTCCACCTCACTACCCCGTCCAGACAAATTTGACTGGATCTGTCTCTCGGTCGAGCGCTGAGGAACTATTGGCTACGCAAATAGACACACAGGGAGGAGGAAACAACTTGGATTGGAAGAAGAAAAAAAAACTTTAAAGAGACATTTCCCCCACTTTTCTCACTAGCATTGCGATATAGCCAACAAGCGCTGGGTGGAAATTAACAACTCTAAAGCTCTGTGGACTTACAGTCTCCAGTCTTGTCCCCGATGCACTGAAGTCTCGTTTCATTCAAGGCTCGGTCTTTGAAGTTGACTAAGAATAGGAGGGGGATTACCATATTTACCCATGCGGATTCCCTTTGTGGCTTCATGTGAGGCTAAATCATTTGGCAGTCTTTTTTTTTAATTAAATGACTTGCGCTCTCCGCTTCGATTCCACCTGCTTCTTGTACATGAATTATCAAGGAAGTCCAAAAATTAAAAAATAAAGTGTTTTACAGCAGGACTTGTTGAGTTGGTTGATAATATTTGGGTTGAGCGAAGTCAAGGGTCTTTGGTCCACCGACAAAGGTCTTGTTATCTTTGACGGAACACAGAAAAAAATAAGGTCTGCTTCACATTTCCTAGAAAGCCATCTCATCAACCACAAGCAGTTTGGCTGCAATGAATTAAATAGTTCATAAAGCCCTGTGTGTGTGTGTGTGTGTGTGTGTGTGTGTGTGTGTGTGTGTGTGTGTGTGTGTGTGTGTGTGTGTGTGTGTGTGTGTGTGTGTGTGTGTGTGCGTGCGCGCGCGCGCGTGCGTGCGTTGGTGCGTGTGTGTGTGTGTTGCATGTTGCTTCTGGTCTATGCGGAGGTAGTGAAGTGAATTGCGTCAGTGGCGCATGCATGAAATGCGCCTAATCTGGCCAGGCGGATGAAAGTAGAGGCGCACTGTGGGGAGAGAGGAAAAAGTTCTCGACGAGGAGAGGCAGGACTACTCTTACGGAGCTCCTGCAATCTCGCTTTTTATGCCTCTTCAACACTTTCACTGCCATCCTTTTCGCATTTTTCGCGCTGTATTACGCCGCAGCTGCGCTTCCGTGAGAGAAATACTACCTTTTTTCTACTTAAGTGAAAGCACCATGGAGCTGCTCTGCCTCGAAATGGACACCATCCGAGCTCGTCCCGATCCGAACCTCTTGTGCGACGACAGAGTCTTGCAGAGCTTGTTGACCATAGAGGAGAGGTTTCTACCCCAATATTCCTATTTCAAAAGCGTCCAGAAAGATATTCAGCCCTTTATGAGGAGGATGGTCGCCACTTGGATGTTGGAGGTACACCGAACCGCTGACTACGAGTCGTGTTATTTCCGTGCTCGATCTAAAAAGCCTCCCTGTTTGTTTAGTTTCTGCTTTACCGACTGGTGCAGCAGTCGGACAACAGACGGGACTTAAAGCTTATACTTCATATTAACCGAATGCGTCGCTTTCTGTAACTTCTTGAATTTTTTTAAAGTTTTTTTACCGTCGCGAAGACGTTTGTCCGTGAAACTCGCAGCGGTGATATCGGTGACACCTGAAGGGTTTTCCCCGCCGTGCTTCACGTGTCGCTTGCACGAGCTGCATGTCGATTCTGTTACGTTAATATTGTAGATACACGGATTATTTCCGTGCACACGTATGCACTCCCCGATGCTGTGTGCCCGTGGTGCTCTACCGCCATGTTGGGTTCTCGCGCTCGTGGTTTTTAAGAGGACTTTACAGTGTCGTAAACGCAATAACAGCGACACAAACCCGTCGGCAATGACAGAAGACGGTCTTTTATGTGCACTGAATGTATGAATGATGTCAAGAAGCGTTGCAAACATTTTATGTATCTGTTCGAAACGTCGGAGAGGGTGAGGGCCTTATTTGTCCTTTGGATGTTCCCCCCGTCGCGTTGCCTCACTGTGGAATTATGTTCGATTTTTGACACTCCGTGTAATATTTTTGATCGACGCGTACCCATAAACAATGCCAAGGCTGTGCTATTTATTTTCATGTAAATATCGTGACAGTCCGACCCACTGAAGATTTCTAATTAATTTTTGAAATAAATATATCGTGTCGCCAGTGACGCACATCAGACCAACCTCTTGGTACTCGTCCTTTATTTTGACGTTTTATTCTTATTTACCGCGCATGAATTTGGTGATGTATTGTCGGGTATGATACAGAAGACCTTTCTGAACATTATGGAATGAAGGACATTAGTCTACATAATTTATCTGTATTTTTAATTATTTTATGAAAATATGACGAATGAAGAAAAAAAATGTGTTTCCGTGTGCTGCAATGTCGGGATCTTTTTTTGGCTCGTGTAATTGTGACTTGAATTAATTTCTTTTTGGACTACATGAAAGCCACTCTATTGACAATATGCCTTTGGGACTTATTTCATTCTTTATGAAATAATCTATTCCGAATTAATTTCTGATGTCGCAACCGATTGGGGCTGGGCGCAAATTCTTGGCCCGGCCCCAACTATGCGTGTCATTGAATATATATGTTCTCTTTATGTGATTAGAGTTTTGTTTCGTTTTCATGAAAGTTTTATACACATTCTAAAGTGCTGGAAAATATGTCTGCTCACTTTAGGGTGGGTTATTGATTCCAAACGTTGAACATTGCTGCATTGTCTGCTGTCTCGTTCTTCAGGTTTGTGAGGAGGAGAAGTGCGAGGAAGAGGTTTTTCCCCTGGCCATGAACTACTTAGATAGATTTTTAGCTGTGGTACCCACCAAAAAGTGCAACCTGCAGCTGCTGGGAGCAGTGTGCATGTTCCTTGCATCCAAATTGAAAGAGACCCGTCCATTAACAGCAGAGAAGCTTTGCATCTACACAGATAACTCCATCAGACCACAAGAACTGCTGGTAAGCAAACGTTGGTTTAACACTTCTCACAAAATTCACTGTCGTTCCTATGATGATTCATGTTGTTGACATAAGCAAGACACCATGATGTATGTATGTTTTGTCTTGAAAAGCGGGGTGGGGGGGTGTAGTTGGTTTTATGGTATTAATGCATCAAAGTGCGTTTGTTTTATAAATGTACCTGCAGGGTTGTTCTCTTTTTACCGGCTCTCGTGTCACGCCATCATCAAGAGGTGCACAAAAAGCGAAAGCCTCACACTGAATTGTTCCACAATGAATCTCTTCACTGTACCAGACCCACTGGGCTTTACAGTAACCATCACGGCCGTGCAATGGTCTCCATCACCATCTACTGGCAGATATTTTCACAGAGCAACGAGGTCAGCTTGAACCTCGGCCAAAGTTCTGACTCTGTTCCTGTCAGCCTTAGAGGGAGAGACACAGAGAAATACAAGTTTGCCTTTTACAGTTCAGCCTCCGTCCAAAAATAACCATTGATGCAAGCATTTCTGATGTTATGTCATGCGGCACTATTTTTGCTCCTCACACATTTTTCAGCGATGAAATGTAGGTCTCAGTCACAGCGAAGCATATAAGTGAGTGGGGCTTGCAGGTGTCTTTTAGAGTCGGCAAAATGCCATTGGACTGTGCTATGTTCCCTGAGGCCTGATAGTACCGGCTCTTACCACCTAATTGACTCAGTTTCACATCAGATAAGTGTTTCCCCACCGCTCTGAGGTGCTTCATAAACATTCCTTAGAAAACAACAGCCAATCCCACCCATGTTGTGAAAGAGGCCACATACTCTGACTCAGGGAAAGGTGCAATGGTCCGCGTATCATGGTTGTAGGGGTGACATGCGTTCAAATGGGAAAGTGGTGTTCGACGTTAGACGGGGCGGACTTGTGTAATAAAACGGTAATGTTTTGCTGCACTTTACAACAACAACAAAAAACGTCCTACTTTTTATGATCAGTCTGAAGACCCAGCCCTCAGTCCCAACTGGTTTGCTGGGGCCTCTTCGCTGTGTTTCTGTATAAGGCAGTATTTTGGCTGACATGCAGATACAGGAAACAGAGATCAGCTGCTCGGGGCATGTGATCGTTTTTTTTTCTCTTTTTGTCCTTGTCTTTGGTAACAATTTCTTGTAAAGAGAACCACAATGTTACAAAGATGGTGTGACCAGAGGAAGGCATTATAGCAGAAGGAAGTGGGTGCCTGCATGCCTGCCACTCTCGTCAGTACTGAGCCTGTGTTGCAAGGTTCTTCACGGCCCTCGCTGTAGGCCTGAATCCGGCTTGCCGGCTCTGGTGGAAAGAGGCTTTTGAGAGCAGGGGGCAGCCTCGTTGCAGACATTCGGGCTGACGCAATCAACAGGCCATTGTTGGGCCATAATTTGCATATGATCAAATTATTGAATATCTCACATCGTGGTTACACACCTTCAAGCAAGCAGATGAAGATATTTTTAACCTTTTTTCAGTAGGAGGTGCTTTCCAATTCTCGCTTCCTCCCTCATGGGTATCAGTGGGTACAAACATAATCTTTGTTTTTGTTGATGTTTTGTTTAAAACCCTCTGCACCACCTCTATCCGTGTTCGTAGCATCATAGAGCTCAGGAAACAGCTCAGAAATGGCCCTTGGATAAGCATGCCGGGTCAGTGGTAGCCATGTTGACTTGTCTCATGACTGAGTCCATGTGGTCTCTCTCTCTCTCACTCAAAGGGAAAATACAGAGCATCCTTGGTCCCTGTCACAAGGCTGCAGTCCGGAACTAAACCACAAAAAAATTTCCCGAATTAGTCACCACCTCTTCCGTTAATCACTTCCTCCTCAAGGAAGTGAAAGTAATTATTCACCCTTTACAGAACAGAACACCACGCCTGTTGCCCCTCCACAATTTGCCATGAGAGTCGCGTTAAAAGTGATTTGTGAAGTACAGAGAATTGAATTCTTCCGAGTCCGATGACACAGAAAAGGTGTTGAGTTACGTGTGATTCAAAACTGCACTTCAAACGCTGCCCACGGTGTTTCCTTTGAGGTATCTGACTGTACGTGCCGCTCCGTTTACTCCGAAAGGGGTGAATTTATTTATAGAACAGAATTGGCAGAAAGATGCAATATAGAAAAATAATGGGACACACGCGCACACACACTGTACAACCTCTGGTGGGCCTCTTTTGGAAAGTCCCCAGATGCCAGACAGACAGATGGGGCGGGACACAGTGTTGTGAGGTCACCTGGGTTGGTGGCGCTGCTGAAGTTTCTAAGTCTCCGGCCCGGCCACGGCGAGTCCAACGTTATAACAATAATGCTAAACCTCCACACACAGTAACGGCACGCGGCCTTCTTTAGGCCGCAGTGCAGCCAGCTGTGACTTCAGTAACGTGCTGTCTAAACTGTCTAAAATGTAAATATGTAGTTGTACGTTGGCTCACATGAATCTTCCTCATTTTCCTGGATCTTGTCCTGACCTCTCCTGGGTCTCATCTATGTCTGTCCCTCTGTCTCTCTCTCTCTCCAGGAGTGGGAACTGGTGGTGTTGGGGAAGTTGAAGTGGAACCTGGCGGCAGTGACACCCAACGACTTCATCGAGCACATTGTGAGGAGGCTGCCGCTGCCCGAGGATAAGCTGGCACTTATACGCAAACATGTCCAGACCTTCATCGCCCTCTGTGCCACAGGTAGGACGCGGCGGGCACGCTCACGCGCTCAATGTCCTGTGTCACTCGCGGGTGTTTGTCCAAACCAGTGGTGTCCATGTCAAAGAACCAAAAGGGGGCCGCTGATGAAGCTGCGTAGACAAGCCCGGCAGTGATGGCTCGCATCGACATACTTTATCACGTCGTAAAATGTCTTTATCTCCACATTCTTCTACCGGCGGCGGGTCGTCAAAGCGCGGTTCTCTCGATAACGTGCGGTAACAGCTCCGTTCAGGGGTGTGCCGCGGGCCAGTCCCGGCCCGCCGTGACTTAAGTGAGATGTATTAACTCCGATGGGAAAATATTCAGCCTTTAGAAAAGCATGTGTCATGGAAGACATCTCAGGGTGAGTCTCCCAGGTCTGACGTCCATCATCAATCTTCTCCCGGAGCCGGTATGTGGTCATGTGTTTTAGAAGCATATCAGTGGCTTTCAGAGCATCCAGTGACACTTCAAAGCAGATTAAGCCCGGGTTGAGGGGCATTCCCATGTAGCACGCTGTCGAGAAGAGGAATGGACAGGGTGGAGGCGGGCAGGCCATTGTCTTTCGGCTCTGGAGGTGAATTGTTCTCTCAAGATCAAACATCCATCGAGACGTGGGAGGGACAGAGAGCCCAGAACATGATCCGAAGAGGCGTGAAGATGCAAGAGGGGATGGGGGAGTTGGGGAAAGCCAGAGGAGTGTATTGTTTTCGCATAGCAAATTCTAAGGCATGTTATGTTTTCATATCTCTTTCCTCTGCCACCTTCCTCCCCCCCCCCCCAAACGTCTGACCCTAACCGCCCTACAGCTGGAGGACATGATAGCTTGTTGAGATGTTGAGATTCACTATAGGGCAGCTTTCTCCTGTTTGCCTCACCTCCACGTTGAAAGCTACCAAGAAGCCATAACTAGAGATTGGAAAATAGTGCATTTGTTTCCTCACAATACATCTGTTTGGCCCTCCTTTGTTACTGGCTTTCTGGGTAACCCCCCACCACCAGTGCAGCTTCCTTTTCTGCAGGCCTCAAACAGGAATGCTAACTACACCCACCCATGGGAAATAGCGCCTTGTGCTGACATCATTCAGATAGTGTGTAGTTAGATGGATATACAAGGGAGGGGACAGGTATTTGCAACAAAAAAAAGGGATGGAACCACCTGCAGGGACGTGTATTGGCTCACAATCAAGGGCAAGAGGAGTTCCCAGCAAAAATAACTTGAAGCGCCTGTTTCCTCTCTTTCTCTGCGTCTCGCTTTTCTTCGCTCTTTCCTACCACGTCTCCCGGTCTGACCCCACGTCTCTCACCCCTCATTTGGTGCCAGCGGGTTAATGAGTGGAACGACAGCGTGTCAGTGATCAGACGCAGAGCAACATTGTGAAACGCTCAGCGTGCACTTTGTCCTTAATTGCGCCAATGAGGTAGTGGAAATACATTTACGATCCTCGTCGAGTCGTCCTCCTGATATTGTGTTTTAGGAGAGAATCTTTCTGGAGATAGCTCCAGATTAGAAACAGGCCATTTATCTGTGTATACTCTCCTCAGACTTGTATCCACGCCAACACAGACTGAGGGCAAGACCGAGTGAGAGAGAGAGAGCGAGCACATGAGGCAACCATTTGGTGGATCTGAAGATCTCTGGGAATTTGAAACCCCATTTGTGGAACGTTCCCAGCCGTAAATCTCCGGGTTATCGCGAGAGAATCCTCCTGGAAGACGTCTCGGAGCGTAGCTGAGAAGGTGAAGGCGCAGGATAAGGAGGAGATCTCTCAAGAGGATTTACATTCGCAAGACAACAGGTCACCTGTGGCCTTCCTATTTCGTACCACCCGCCCACTTCTCCCACCACCGCTGCCCCTACGCTGAAAAGAAAACATGCATAAAACCGTGGCCCTGTGTTTTCAAGGGAACAAGAGAGAAAAGAGGAGAAGTGGAGAGTAAGGCCTCTCATGCCTAATGGCTCCTCTCTTTTGATGAAACAGTTCCGTTCGGGCCACTCGGTGGGATTTGGTCAGGTGGCGCAGGCTGGCTCTGTATTAATTAATAACATTGGCTGGTCCATTCAGGACTATGCAAATGGCTCGGGAGCTCAGCTAGAGGCTAGGAGAAAAGAGACAAAAGGCTCGGCCCTCACATTTCATATGCAGAGCCATGCGAGGGGTCAGCGCTGCGGGGCCACTTGATAGGAAACACCAGCGTTTCCCTCAGGCAGGCTGCCGGATAATGACCCAGAAACAAGCTCATTAAGGGAGATTATGAACCTCCATTCCTACACACAGACACTGAGCACTCTGAGCTTCCTCTTCCATTCTTATTCAATGGAGTAAAGTGGGAGAATGGACGGGGTGCAGGGAGCAGACAGATGCACCCCAACCTGTCTGCTGCGGTTATTGAGCCCCGTCTTCTTGCCATATTGGCAGGGATTATGGCCTGGAATGGTGACAATAGTTGTAGACCTTGATCAAAAGACATTTCTGGACGAGGGCCATCACTGCTGTCCAAGGGAGAGTCAATTTTCCGGTAGGGCCGTGGTCCCTAACCTTTTTTACCTCACGGACCAGTTTCATGTCAGACAATATTTCGCGGACTGGTCAAGAAGGTCCGACCGGGGGCGGGGGGGGGGGTGTGTAGTAGTTGTTACGGGCGGAACGACCGACGGGGGGGCGGGGTAGTAGTCGTGCGCTCTGTGTTGGCTGGTCGGCAAAACTGCCCTGCACGGAGGGCCGAGCGCACATAATCAGAGGGACGAGCACACATAATCCAGTCAATTTTCAAAATAAAACATTTTTCAGAAAAAAATATGTAAGCTTTCTGTGGTGCCCGGTACCAAACAGCCCACGGCACGGTGGTTGGGGACCACTGCCGTAGGACACAATGAAGATTTCGCTACAAGTCGGGATGTAGATAACAAGCGATTTAAGAAAGTGGGTAGTCGCTCTTTTATCCCCGGATAGTATTTGACCACTTCTTGGGTTTTGTCTTTTGGGTTGTGTGAAGTAACTCAATGATTAATAACCTCTTCGTCTGCCTGATATAAAGAATGAGAGGTATTCACCAGCGTTGCTGGATTCATCAACCTGCACACTATATGGAGCGTTTTCTGGAGAACCGCCTCCAGACTCGGCTCCGAATGATTCCCCTCAGATGTGGTCAACGAGATGGTCTTTACTGGTGTTTGTTTACATAGGGCCGCCTTCCATGCTGGATGACTCAGAACCCAGACAAATTAACTACGTCCTCCAACAAATTATCATCTTTGTGCCGATCTGAGCAATCGTGTCCGGTCCGTTCGCTGCGTCATCACATGGAGCAAACCGCAGAGCGGGTCATCGACTGGCACGTCCTGACCCCCCCACCCTCCCCCACCCCCCACTCCCTCCGTTTCACCTTCATCCTGCTGGTGTAATCGGTATCATACCGTAAATACTGTGGCCAGCTGAGTCACACCAGAAACACAAAGAAAGAGGTTTTGGCTTCAGAGGCTCCAATCATCCCACAAGATTTAGAAATCAAAATGCTTCTGAGGTTACATGTTTTCCTTGGAGGTCATGTTGACCACAAAGACCAATATTTGTGATCTGAAGTAAATGTTAGTGGCAGCAAGTTTGACCTGAACATTTATGTCATGACATCAGTCTTTCTTTGCTTTCTCTTCCAACTTTTTTTTTTTTTCTCAAATCATATTGGCTACAACGAGAGAGAGTTTTATGGGGTTTTTTGTATTATTTCACCTTTTAATCCAATCCGAATCTGTCTGTAACACCGACACTCACCAACGCCTCAAAGCTGCGGCTGAGTCAGTGGAGATAATAGGTGCAGAAGGAAGCTCTCACGGGGTGCAACAATTTAAGGAGTTCTGTTTTCTGGCACTTCCTCAAGAAATCACAGTTTGAGCAAGTGACTCAGACTTTCCCGACACCGATCAAGGTTTCGTTACCTGATCAGAGATTTCTCCCCTCGGTGCACAGGGAAGAACTCCTAAAGTCGTCGTACCGTCCCAGAAGCTCCCCACAGACCTTGTTTTGACTACGGGGCCGTGTTGCGTTAGCGGTGAAACACACTGTTATGCCAATCCCAAAATGATGTTTGTGTTTGGCAGGCCCAGGGTCCCGGTAATGCTGCTCCTTTAATAAACAAGGTCAATAAGCGCTACATGTATAGAATACAAGACCCTGATTTATAGTCCTGGTGAGGAGGAGAGATTTTTTTTCTCTCTCTCTCTCTCTCTCTCTCTCTCTCTCTCTCTCTCTCTCTCTCTCTCTCTCTCTCTCTCTCTCTCTCTCTCTCATCTTTTGGCTGTTGTTCAACTTTCAAACTTTAATGAATTTACAGGTTCAATGTGCATGCTATGCATTGCAGCCACCCAGGAGGAGTGGGCCATGTAGGGCAGCAGACTGTGTGACCAGAAGCCAGAAGATAAAGTTTCAAGGTGGGGGTGGGAACATGGAGGAATGGAGATGAGGAGGCACACGGAGGAGAAAGGGCCATTGAGGGGGTGAGAGGCGTGCAGGCCAGGCCAGCCAGCCGCTGCTCACAGGGAGCTTTCCATCGCAGGCGTCCCCACTCAGCTACATACACTGTTTATCCTCAACATGAATATCAATGAGGGCCTCCTAAAATACGGCCATTCTTCCCCCCCACACATGCAGCAGCCACCAGGCCGGCGTGTCGGCTTGCATCGGCTGCACGCGCTCGCCCTTGTTCTGCCACAGACCTGTCTTGTCTTGAGTGCGAAGAATCAGCTTGCTACCCACTGTCTGCCACTCAGCGGCCTCACAAACCAGCGTCTGTGCTGTGTGTGTGTGTGTGTCTGCATCTTAATGCATGCAGGCATCAGTGCATTGTTCCTTGCCTGCGCTCACCGCACACGTACAGTAAATCCGTGTGTGCCTTTGTCACCTCACCCCTCCTCTTACAGCAGTGATGTAATGCGCAGGGGGCTTTGTGTGCTTTTCTTAGCTCGAGGTGGCCTTTAATAAATCGCCCCTTGGCAGAGGCCCAGCGGCTAACACAGGGGTGTATAATAAGTTCATTTATTTGTCAACACTGAGCCCACAAGATGAGAAAGCGCCTGGCCGTGCATGTTAAAAAGGCAGCGAGGGGGCGGCCTTTACAGCTATCAAAGGACCCACCTCTTTGATTCCAGATTTTAAAAAAAGAAGGAAGAAAAATGTCCTTCATGGCCATCGCACACAGTTAGCTTTGCAATTGAATATGGCAATATGTTAATGTGCAGGCTGTTTCTCTGCCCCCGCTGCCCACTCCTCCAGCCCATAGGTGACCGAGGAACAGAGGGATACTTGTGGGGGTGGGGGGGGTTGATGGGAGGTAGGAGGTGAGGGTCGATGGAGGGCGACTCTTTTCTTCTCCCAGAAACCTCACAAGAGTCCGGACACCGACTTAAGAGTGATGTGCATTGGAGTCGTCTGCCCCCCCCCCACTGAGCCCACCACCTACCCTTCTTTTCTCCCCGTGGCCTCGTCGCCATTCTGTCCATCCCTTCTTCTTCAACCCCCACCCCTACCTCGTCGACCTCCTGTCCCCCCGTGTCTCTCAATTGGGTGAAATGAGGTAATGACTCTGGACAATGGAGTCACACTCTTGTGCCTTCCCCTCTCGCCGGCCCGCCACTCTATTAATATGCTAAGAGATAGGAGGGCCGCCAACGCAAACCACTGCCTGTTGTAGCAACAAAGACCGAGGCATGTGTGCCATTCCCTGCCCCCCCAACACCCCTCACACCCCCCACGCCCACCCCCCCTTCCGTCTAAGCGGGCTATGTGTTGTCCAAAAAGAAAGGTAGAAGTTGAGCAAGACATAAAGAGAGAATAGAGTGTGTGCGTTTCGTGCGTGTGTGTGTGTGTGTGTTTGTGTTTGTCTCCCTCACTGTCTGTCTGTCTCCCTCTCATTGTGTGCCAGTTGCCTTGCCTTTTCGTGCTTCTGGCCCTGTTCACAAGCTGTCTCATTTGCATTATGAATGACAGTGAGGGGAGCTAACAAGATTATTGGTCTTTGAGACGCACGCCTGTGACCACACGTGGAAAAAGGACCTACAGCAGTGAGCATTGGCAGAGCACTGAGCCTCTTTATTCCTCCCTTTCCAAGCGCTATGGGGCTTCTTTTTTTTTTTTCAGCGAGCACACGATTTACTCAGGAGATGGAAGAAAAGGGGCCGGGTTTGGGGAAGGGGGGTGGGAGGGTGGAGGGGGGGGGGACTGGGGTGGGAGAGCGGGTGAGGGTGGTTTGCTTTTCAGCTCCCTTTACAAGCCAAGTGAACCCTCATTACCCGGGCCCCTTTGGTCATTAGTGAGCGCCGCGTTCAGGTCCGCTGCAATAGAAGGATTATTTATTAGCCGACTGCTAGATTACTAGATCATATTGTCTCTCGGGGGGGGACATATGTGTACCCTTTTTTTGAGGAGCAACTGAATTGAAAAGTGCATTTTAGAAACTGCACCAGGTGAATAAAGTCCAGTGAACAACATTTTTTCGCTTCATGTGACAATGAATACCTCTCTGGACCAAAATAACTGGAGATACATTTAACTCAGTTGTTGCTTTCTTCCGCTGACAGATTTCGGATTCGCCATGTATCCTCCCTCCATGATCGCCACAGGAAGTGTGGGGGCAGCCATCTGCGGCCTGCAGCTGGATTCAGCTGACCAGTCGCAGTGGGGTGACAGTCTGACAGACCTGCTGGCCAAAATCACAAACACAGAAGTGGTGAGTTTGTTTTGGGACACTCGTTGCAGATTTTATTAAATGTTTTCCTCCAGAACCAGAAAACTGACTTCTAGAACACTGAATTCTTATCTTGCAATCCCTCCGATGGGAAAACACCACATTATTCAGGTCAAAGGTCAGGAAGTGCCACATGTCTGTGTGTGTGTGTGTGTGTGTGTGTGTGTGTGTGTGTGTGTGTGTGTGTGTGTGTGTGTGTGTGTGTGTGTGTGTGTGTGTGTGTGTACCATGCTAAGACCACCAATGCCTTCATTCAAATACTTCCTCAACTGTTTCCGTTTATGTTATGCAGCCGTACCTGGCGTGCAATTGACTAGACTTGTGATAGGTTCCCCCCCCCCCACCCTTCATATAAAGAATCGTCTAAATCCAGCCCGGTTGAGAGCATATACAGTGTGCTCTGTCGCTGACAGGAATGCTGGCTCGGGCCGTCGTGCGGCTGTCTGGGTACAGTGAATGTTGCGGTGGCGGGTGTGTTCAAACACAGGCAGGGCCTCCGCTGACTCTGAGATGCCTGGCTTTCATCACGCAGATGAGCGAGGACTTCAGCTCACTGTGAGAGTGAGTAGGTGGGCCGATCTGCAGTGGGGGGGGGGGGGCGGGGGGGTTGAGTGAGACTGGGAGTCGATGCGTTATGTTATTCTTATGTTATGAGTCTGCTTGCAGAACGTGCGTCTTCTCTATAGTAAGGAGCGGTGGGGCCGAACGCCGGCACCGGGTCGGAGGCCTGTGATAAAAATGGCTTTCAGTTAGCTTATTATTTAAACATATTTCAGATCACGTGTGCTCGCTGCGCGGGGGGCCGATCAAAGGAGTCCCGAGCTTCATCCCCTGGCCCGTTTAATTCTTTCCCCAAAGGAGGAAAAGTTGGAGGAGGAGGAGGTGGAAGAAAGCTGTTGAAGTGTGAAAAGGACACTGGGAGTGGAAAAAAGGGGGGGCTCCCTCGCGCCTCTCTCTCTTTTACAATCGGGCCCTCTCTCGCCTCGTCCTATGGTCCATAATGTGGCCCTGCTGGATAGCATGGCTCCCTCTGGTGCGAGTTGTGTGAAGTCTCGCTCGGCAGCTGAGGAAAAACAAATAGCTGACCTCAGCAGCAACAGGGCGTCAGTGTGTTTAGGCTACGAGGTCTCCGACTCGCGGGAATTAAACCGCCGCCGTGTGTCTCCACGATCGGCTCCAGACAAGCCGCGGCTCACAGGGGAACACGAGAGGAAAAGCTCCCCGATTCAACATATGTACCGGTTGCTTTGGTGTGACCTGCAAAGGAGCCAACGCGTAGAGAGCATCCGTATTTTTGGGCTTCAGAACCACGAAGGAGTTATCGGCATTTACACTGTACAAGGGGAGGAAACGGGGAGCAGTGAAACTGTCATTTTGACACTTCTTTTCCCTTTCTGAACCACTGTGTGTGTTGGTCAATTCAACACCTCAGTGAGGTGGTTCGAACCCGGGTCTGGAACGAGCACACTCGACCCACTGTATTTGGGGTGGAGCAGAATGTCACAACCCGCCCCAGGCTGATGGGCCTGGCAGAATATGAAGGCGCAAGCAAGTTTGGCCAACGTCTGCAGCTGCTGCTGCTGCCAACCGCATCCCCATCCTTTTGTTATTGAGGTGAGCGCTTTTCACATTTATTGGCCTCGCACAATTTGGGTGATGGATGAAATGTGATTATATTTCTGGGAGAGAAATTCAGCGGCAGTGTGCTGGAGCGCCGACGTTCGCAACGAAGACACATCTATTAAGAAGCATGATCTCTATCGACAGCCTGTGGCGTCGAGACAAAGAGCGGTCACATTTGTTTATCGTAACTTGCGGAAATTCAAGTCATGCAGTCCGGCGTGAGCCTCCGGATCCGCTGAGATTCTTACGGCGTGTTTGTTTCAGCTGTCTGACCACCAAGTCCTCCCAGAGTAGCTTGCGCTGTCCTGTGCGGTGCAGTCAGCAGTTAAAACACATTCCGTGCATGTCGCAAAGGCCGCCCAGGGATAACGCGTCAGTAAGTAACGTATGCTTGAGGTGGGGGAGATGGAGGCCGTAACGACTAAGGAGGATCAGAGGTTGGTCGTGTTTTCATTTTTTTTTTCGGGTTGAGGCTGCAAAATAAGATGCTTCGGGTGTAGCTTCGGGTCCGCTCAGTATCCAAATACCAAGAGCTTTGCTGAAAACAGAATTGGTGTTTTCGGTAGTCCCACATTGAAGCCATTGAAGTATTTTGAATAAAGCCGATGGCGCTTGGCATGAGATCCCAACGAAACTGTGGAGAATGTCTTTCAAGAAGGGAAGGCGTGCATTCTTGTGGTAAGACACAGGCAGTTCCTTTATATGTTTGTTCGCTTAACTTAATTTTCTCATAGGAATTGAGATCTTACAAGCTGTGGGGCACATGTTGGTTGGGAAGATGTTGTGTGTGCGTGTGTGTGTGTGTGCGTGTGCATGTGTGTGTGTGTGTGTGTGTGCGCGTCCATGTTAGCAGCCAACTTCTGGACGAGATTAAGGGACAGACACGGTCGGGTTTCCTCCACGTCGGAGCCGTCGCAACGCAGCTCAGATCAGTCCAACCTCCTCAACGTCAAATCAGCCTTCGTGGTTTGTGACCCCAAAACTTTCTCAAGCTAATCATCTGTAGCGTCTGGAGCACTGAAAATAAGAGAGACGTCATGACGGGAATTACCTCATGCAAAACCCTGCATGATTGTTGTCTAATGTCTTATTTTATTCTTAACTTATTAGACGTTATAAGAAGAATCCACTCGTACAAGCATTCTCCATCAAATGGTCCCCGTGTACAGAAATGCAACAAATCACCCGTCTCAAAAGCAGGGGCGTAGGCAGAAATTGTATTTTGGGCGGGCCAGTGAAAAAATGGGTGGGCCTACAGTTTTTTGTAGGAAAAAATTACTTAAATAATAATTAAACCTTAGAGAGTAGAAAAGAGAATAACTAAATTCCAAAAACAGTTACACCTTTATTTTGCAATAATCGGCAAAGACAATAACAAAACACTGTCTAAACATCATGTTCAACCAACAGAGCTCAATAAAGGCTAGATAGACCAGCATAGACAATAACCTGTCTATTTTATTCAGGCTAGTCAGCAGTGCAAAGACAGTTCCCCGAAAATAAAAGTAGGCTAAAAGTAAAAGAAATTAAATAAAAATAATAAAAACTCTCAGCAGAGCATGGTTTAAACTAAAAAATGTAGCCTATAAGGCACACAGCTATACAACACACCGCATAGTTAAATCACTTCAGCGTCCTCAGCCAATATATGAAAGTGATCACACGGGGCCCGCAGAGAATCCTTCTTTGCAAAAGTCTTAGACTGTGGGAGAAAAGTTGCTGCTGCCCTCATTATTCCATACTGATCCTCTTGGAAACGATTGTCCAGCTCTGCCAGCTATCTGTCAAGGATGTCGTTCCATATGTGTCTTAAGTCATCATCATTTCTCACACTTGTTGCTTTCCCCAAACTAGTTGTGACCACTGATCCTGCAAGCCTTGCAGGGAGCTTTCTCACTCTGGTCCCAGCTGTGATGTCCCAGCTTGTGATTTCATTTTTCTGCATCAACTCTTCTGTTAGCTTCATTGCTTGCTCAAAATCACACCCTGAATTGTCTCTAAACCGAGCAAAGCTCTCTTTTAGTCCCTCAATAAGATTGATGCACTCAGAAACTGACAATGTTGGGCTTTGTAAACCCCGTGTGGCAAAATCGCTCGTCTGAAATAACTTTCCAAATGTGACGAGTAAAAATAAGAACTTTTTTGTTTGTATTTGTTGCAACAGTGACTGCGCCTCAACCTTCGATTGGCCACTGCTTTCAGCATATTCAGCCAGCACTTCTAATATTACGTCGAGTAACGTCAGTACTTTGCTCACTGCTCCGGATTTGGAGCTCCAGTCGCTCTGTCCCTCTGTCGCAAATGGGCTGTCAGCTGCGCTTGGAAAATGTCTGCACATTTTACAGAAAATCCCGTCCTTGATCACACTGTACTCAAACCAAGGAAACTGTCCATACCACTTCGATGAGAAGCGCCTTGATTTTCCATTCTTGACAGTGCAGGGGAATACCTTCAAATTGGGTTGTGAAGGTGGTTCATCAATTGCGGTTAGATCGGCAGGTAAACCCGCGTCAGGCTGACCGGGAGAGAGCACCGGCACTGCCACGGAGCAAGCAGCGGCCGCCACGGGCACCTGACTAGGCTTCTTGTGGGCTAATGGGCTGGGCTGGGTGGACTCGGTAGATGGAGGCAGTGGCGAGTCTTCTCCCTCAACTCTTGCTTTTTTAAAATAACACATTAAAGACACTTGTTTAGCCATTATTGTGGCGATGTTAATCATTAGCTAAAAAAGCAGCTAGCTAGCAAAGAACCCGCCGCTGCGCAGAGAGTCGTCCAGTCGGAACCCCTAGCAACCATAGCAACCAATTACGTTCCAGAAGGAGTATTTCTACAATTTACTTCAACAGTTCAATTTTATTAGGAAAACAAATAAACACACACACCAGTCAAAAATAAATCAAATTGATATTAATATATTTTCTTAAATACATTTGAATAGTAAAAATAAACAAAAAATTATTAACTAAAAAACAATTTGATCAGCCTTGCCTGGGTGGGCCAGTGAGTAATGTGGGCGGGCCAGTGCCGCCCTGGCCCATTGCTGGCCACGCCCCTGCTCAAAAGTAAACTCATCTAGTTTCCCTTCAACAAAACGGTGCACATGTCGTGCTGTTTGACCTCTGACACCGCGACCTCTTTGCCACTCACCCGCGTGCAGCTCCTGAAGAGCAATCTAGACGTGAGTGAGGCCTCTGTTCTCATTTCATCAAGGCCCAGCGGCACCGGGACTGTGGCCCATCAGCTTTTAATTAGCTCCAAATTTCAAAAAGAATGTCTCCTCGCTCCAGCAGCCGCGCACTTTCCTGCGGCCGCGGGGGCCTCTCAGTCATCTTCCGCACAGACGCCCGGTGCTTTTGGCGTGTGGTGGAAGCAGGCGTCTGGCGTTGTGGTGGTGCTTTGCCACCAGGGGGCGCTGTGGAGTCTGATTCAGAACTCTCCCATCGGCTCGTCCTCTGCCTCTTCTGAAGCATTTCGTCCTTGAGCCAACAACTCATCAACTCCCCCCCCCCCCCCCCCTCCCTCCTCTAGTCCGAGCCTCCCCAGTGCATTTCCCACCCTCTTCATGCGCTGTGCTGTCCCCTCCGTCAACTCTCCGTCAGGGAAGGATATGAGGGCTCAGTGCTGCTGACAGGCTCCTCTCCCAGGCGGGTTCTCAGGTTGCCGCCATGGCCTTTGATGGTTAAAGGCGAGCCGGCCAGGTCTTAGATGGATCTCCTGCAGGCAGGCAGGCCCGCAGACTGGCTCTCGTTAAAAAAGCACCACCTTTGTGTTCCCACAGGAGGTGGATGTAATTAACATAGCTTTAGTACTACCTGTGTTTGCAGCTGCCGTTGTCAAGGCTACTTCTGTGTGTGTTTAGGAACAGGGAGGGGTCGGGGTGGGTGGGTGGGTGGGGCATGGGAGAGGCAGCGGCGTGCACGTGCTGACTGTGGGGGTGTTCGGTGAGCGGTGGCCCCCCTCCACCGCCCCGCCGGGGCCCCTGCGTTCATGCACCGACTTCAGCCTTTAGGTTTCTCCTGATGAGCTAGTGAGCAACTGTGATACCAAATCCGTCGCCGGGGCCTGGACCGCTGGACGGGAGGCAAACTGGGTGACCTTCTGGTTGCGTTAAATAACCCTTTGTTGAAAACGACAACTAATATTTACTGCTTGTCCTCTCTCTCTTGTGGCCTTGCAGGACGTCCTCAAAGAGTGCCAGGAGCAGATTGAGCGCGTGTTGGTGAGCAGCCTGCGTGAGGGCCGCCAGCAGCAGCAGACGCAAAGAGGCCCCAGCGGGAAAGGCCTGGACGAGCTGGATCAGTCCTCCACCCCCACAGACGTGCGCGATGTCAACTTGTGAACCACCAGAGGGCGATACTGTACAGGATTTACAAAAAAAAAGCATCATGAAAATGAAAAATGAATTTTTTTTTTTAAATGCAGAACAAAAGAAGAAAAAATGACAAAAAAAGACACAAGCCCTTTAAAAGAAAAAGAACAGTGTTTGTAGATTTTTCTTCAAATGAAAAACACCTGCCCACAAAATCAGATTTCCTACAATGTTCTTGTCCAAAAGCAAACAAATTTGATTGAAGATGACGCTCTGCGGTGCCTTGGATATACAGAAGGGAAGCCAATCATATCTGCACTCTGCCTTTGATTGTGTAGTACGATCGTTAACTTATATGAACCCATGCTAGAGGTTGTGGAAACCATTCAAAAGATGTCATGGGATCACGGTGGGGCTTATTATTATTTTATTTTTTTCTTTCTCCGTTTTGTTTTACATGAGTAGAATCACTACTTTCATGGCTGATGCGAGAGAGGACACAAGCTCCTCAACCATCAGGAGGTCCACGCGAGAGAGACGGACGAAGCCGTGAGAATATGTTAAAAGTTGGTGGGTCGCGATTCCATGGAAGAGGCGGGATCATAATAATTATTGATAGTATTAGTAATTGTTATGGTTATTATAGATAATATCATTGGATATGTTTTTGAAACTGAGTAGTAGAGATCAATAAACTCCTCTTTGTCTGGCTGCTTGTGTGTCAGTTAGGTGTGTGTGTTCATGTGCGAACACGGCAGATAACGAGCATGCGTGTGTGTGTGTGTGAGGTATGAATGCGTCGTGTGAACCTGTATCTATGGTAACCACGTGCGGTCTGTGGAGCAAAGTTGAGTCTACACTTAAAGGACTACGTACGAGCTGGAGGAGGCTACACGTAGTAGTAGGGCATAACAGGGCATCGATGCTAGATCACTGACTTTATGCATTACCGATGCATCATGGTTCATTGTTGGCCAACAATAAACTTGTGTGCATGCACTATGAGTGAGACGGATAGAGATATAGCGAGGTAGGATGTGGGGGCGAAGGGACTTTCACTTAGAGCCCCCTTATCTTTCCGAGAGCATTTTCCCTGAGGTGTTAAACCTCAGACTTGGAGGTCATTTGAGGTGTTTGTTTATTACTTCCATTCTTATAATGATGATGCAGATACTTCTTTCTAGTCACGTTGTTACGAGATGGTGTTTCCCGAGTTGCGAGAGGCTGCTTCGAGCGCGGACAGAGAGTCGTAATGACAAATGTGATGCTTTTTAAAGTCTGGAGGACATTGGATTCTACCAGGTGTGGTGTGGAAAGAATTAGAAAGAGAGGGACAGTTTTTGCAACTAATAAAAGTCCCCGTTGAACTGTGTGAGGCACGTGACTGCCGAGCACAGGGCTTGTAGGACAGAGAGGGTTCTGGTTGTGCTGCTGTGAGGAGAATTTGCGGTCAGCGGCCGGAAGATGATAACAAACTAAAGATGCTTTTAAAGGCCTTATGATAAAAAAAAATTTAAAAAACTTTGATATCTTCATATTTGGCTGGAACCAACATTCATCCGTCATGATGGATGTCCACAATGACAGAGCCGAGTGAACAAAAACATTCTGGGTTTGTAAATGGATAAAACAAGCAATGCCGGATCATGTGTGGATGAACTTTCATGTAGGGGGTTTGGGTCGGGTGGGTGGGTGGGTGGGGAGGGGGGGGGGTGGAGGAGTACAGGATGATAATTTACTGTCAATGCATCTGGAGTCCCACATAGGGCTGTTTAAGCTCCCCTATATGATTTCAATGGCAAAGCACTTTGAGACCATGCTCCCCCGGAGATAAGTAAATGTGTTGGGTCGTGATTGGAGGTGAATGGATTTTTCTTTTCTTTTTTGTTGCCGCCTTGTTAGCCTTTTCTTTGGTTTACTTTGTAGGGCTGGTTTCCCAAACGTCAGACACACCCTCGTCAAGCAAGAGTCCAATTAATAAAAGGCTTTTCCACAACTTGCGACGAGAGGACATTCCGATCAAAAAACACAAAAAAAAACACATTCCTTTTGAAGCAAACGGCGAGTCGGTGGGGAGTCTGATCACTCAGAGAATTTGAGCAAATATTAAAGGCCAAACTGATTTGGAAAATGCCAACAGGCAGAGTTCACTGATCCAGGGGTCCTGTTTGATTTTATTTCACTTTTTTTAAAGAAAACAATTAAATATTTGTTTCTACTTGAATTTTGAGGTTTGAAGTTTTAAGACAGCAGGGCCTTTGGTCGGAGACCATCTTAACTGATGTGTGCTTCAGCGGCTGCTCCGTTCTCCGTGGTGCTGGCTTGTGCATTTCGGGCCGATCGTCGGTCAGTGAACACGTCCGTCCCCTGTGAGCTTTGCTGCTTCAAATCATTGGCGAGGGGGTTCGTCAGCCAAACAGACGTCCGCACCAAACAAGAGACCGATTTTCTTTTTCTTTTTTTTTCTTTGTTTTAATGAAACACAGAAAGGTGTCTTTGACTCAATGTTTGAGTCGTTCCTCGACGGCATGTGCCTTCGCCGAGTGTATGTCCGTCAAACTGAAGATAAATGTGGGGAATCACGTGTTTTAAGTGATGTTTTTCAGTAAAACTGGGCAATTTTATGACATATTTGCCAAAACATCCCCGTTTGGATATTTGATATAACCTCTTCATTTTGCTCTCTCCCAAACGTAATAGTTGTGATTTTCTTTCCTGCAAATGATTGTTGCATGTGTTATATATTGAGACCATCTTTTCAATTTGTGTTTGATATATTTTATGGGGTGACCAGACCCACATAAGGGGTTTTCTAAGATTTACAGATACTGTATTCCAAAGTGAAGAGAGGACAGAAGAGGAGGTGTGAAGACAAGAAAAAGTGTCAATATTTTTATTGAGTTATTGTTGTCTTTTTTGCGCTGCTAAAAGCTATGAATTTGTGTCATTTATACAAAAAAAATAACATTACTTAGTTGTGATGTGTCACTTGAGTGTGCTGCTATTTTATAAACATGTGTATTATAATATAATTATTTTACTGCTTAAGAGATACATTTAGAAAAAACAGAAGTAGATGGTGATAGAAGAACATGAAATGACTATTCGACTGGAAATGTTCTTTGTACAGTTTGCTTAGATAGCATGTCTCCTTTCCCTCTTCTTTTATCTATTTTGCTCTCCTTCGGTCACATTCTTCTTCAGTGGTATTTCGCATACCTCAGGATTACTGGACAAAACAAAACACAAGCAAATCTTATACCGATACCTCTGCGGTTAGTCGGCCCAGAGCGCAGGGGGAACGCGTGCGACGGGGGTGGAGGGAGAGCGCGAGGAACGACAGGTTATTCTTTTTGTGGATGATTCCCACTATTTCAGTGGAAAAACAACTTGCTCAGTGAGATGGACTTAACCTATTGGATGGCGGGCGCAGCAACATTTCCTGTATTGGGGGGTTATTTTGTGGATAGTTCAAGCATGTTCATTTCTGTTCATCTTGGTGCTAACATCTGACTTGTTGTGCACGAGATGGGGTAACAGCATTCCTACAATGGCCAAAGTACAGTTCTTGCTTTATAAAAGCACAATCACCCTGAATGTCAGTAAATATGGATTCTGTATGTAAGAAAAGATATGTTTTGGTCTGAAACATTGTTTGTGCACCATTATAACTGCCACGTGAGAACAGTTTGAGCTACACCTGTCATGTCCGACCATAAATACTCTGATATCTGGAAGTTTCAATGGTGCAGATTTCCCTTCTAGCTGCCCCGCCTCCACTATAACTCATATCATGTACCTCAAATGTCTGTTGCACAACCTCTGTTCAATAAACTTCTTCTTTAAAGGGTGTGACATCACATCAACTCACTATTTCCCACGCCTGTGCTCCGTTTAAGTGGTGCGTCTGATTGTTTCATAATCAATGGACTGATTTGTGTGGGAGTCGGCAATGAAACAGCAAGTTTAGCTGCACTTTAAGGGTTGAAAGGTACACAAAGCACTGATGACGAATGTGGAAGAATAACAACAGTTCCCCTGCATGCCAGAGAATGAGGTCGACCACTTATAAACACACCCTGCAAATGTGTACACACAAGAACATTTCAACCGCGTCCAATAAATCTGCATGCAACCAAAAGTGAAGGAAATTTACTGGTAACAAAAAGGGCTCTTCTCCTGTGAGCGCAGCAGGAAATTGAGCATTATAGATGTGAAGGGACTTAATTTATATAAAACTAAATTGTGCATAATCATTGAAGTAAAAAACAGAAAATAAAAAGGCAGACCGTTAACCTCCTGCTTTACCCTGCGTTCTCTGTGGCACATTAGAATTGGATGCACGGTTTGGGTGACATGCATTAATGTGTGTAGCAGTGATAATGAAGGAGGGTTGAAACTCTAATCTCCCAAGTATGGCTGACTGGTAAAATGTCACAAATAAAGTGTGCTGTTTGTGATCTAGAGTGGCAACATTTATTAACGTATCTGATGCTTAGACGTTACAGCCACAGACTTGTAAGTATGAGTTCAATATACTGAAATTGATTGTAAGCTAAACTAATAAGACCGCAATAGGTTTTAGATTTAAAGTTGGCCTTTTGTAAACTGTATTACTTCTATTGATCACAGGTGCAAATGCTTGGATTTATCTCAGATTTGCAGAATGGGGGTGTCTGTCAGTGATATGACTGGTGACCAGTACAGGGTGTACCCAACACTCGCTGGGACGGACTCCAGCCCCTGAACCTTGTGATTATTACAGTATTATCTTTATATGAAGGTTATTATGACATTTTCTGTCATTTTTATAGCTGCCATACAATTTCATAATAATCTTAGAATAAAGAGGCCACTGAATGGTGCTTTCAATTTTCAATAACAATGAACAACGCGGTTGGTAATGAGGCGAGTATGTCATGTGTAAGACTACTTGAGCCCATTGAAAATATTCTCTGCAAAACTCCTTGTGAGGTGACAAATAAACCCTTCTGCCTACATGCACTATCGACAGAGAAAGTGAACACCCTAATACACAGCATTTAGTTTGTGTTAACCAGACTAACCAGATCTAACCAAAAATGCAAATAAGAACATGAAGTTGGCACTGGACAGTGGATGGCGTGATGGTCATGAATTAATGAATGGTCAAACATTTGGACTTAACCTGAAGAATCTTTCATAGTTCCCGCGGACTGAGTATCGTAAAACCACCAACTGTTTTTCAAATGAAAATAAAATGAAAAGATTGATTTGTATCCTTTTCAAGTTAAAAATGTAGCACATATTCAACCAAACGAAAAAGTGCACATTGGCACTGATACATTTTTTTCAATAAATTTAGTTTTTTTTATTCATAACAATTACGCTAATTTTTAGGCTTAAACTCAAGGAGAGCCTCTCCATATAAAGGAGATCCCATGAGAGTTGAGCAACTCACGTTTGTTCTCTTTGTCCAGCATGTGCTGAAGTCTGGGTTGCTATGTTTGTTGCTCGCCCACACGGGTGGGTGAGCAAACTATACTAAGGAGATAGGTTGTGCAATTTTAATCTACATCCTGTAGGCCATGGGGAAATTAATATAATGTTCTTTCCTATGGTAGAGGGTCAGACCTGAACCAGACCTGGTGAGCCCAGGGTCCTACCTGCTGGTGCACAGGTGCATTGGGCCAAGGAGGTAGGAAGTTGGGCTTGCAAGCACATTATGCGTTTTGTAATGAGAAGGATGATGGGTACTCGGTGATTAATGGCTGTTTTGTACATTGCAGGCTGAACTGGTGACACGCAGTGGTCAGAAGGGCAGCCACTGCTCTTTTTCTCCAACCATAGCTTTAGTTTAGATTATGATCTAGTGCCTCTATCTTGCTCTCTCTCTTTATAGAAATAACAAACTGATATTGTGCCTTTTTTTTGATGACCGTTGCTTCCCCCTTCCCCACTTTTTATTGTGTTGTGTCTTTTAACCAGGATCATTAATCGTATTTGTGTGTGTTGGTTTGTAGTGTTGGTTATTTTAGCCTTTCTTAACAGTGTGCAGTGTTTTTATTGTTGGAAGTGTTATTGTTGCCCCCGGTCAATCACTACTGGTATAAATTATTTGGATGTGGTTTTATAAAGTCATTGTTTGTACACGCAGAAGCCTCTGTCTGTCTATGATCTACCTTGTATGGGGTTTTTGGCCAGTAAGATAATTGAATTCAGGGTCTCTCCCCTCCAAAGAGAGTGGCGTTGTCACGTCTGGATATTATTCCCAAGTATTTTAAGTGTCCATTTGGTCACATATACACGTGCTTTATTGTACAGCATGAAGACGCTGACATTTGCGCTGAGCCTTATTCGACAGTAAGTGCGGTTGACGTTCATATTCGAGTTTTTATGATAAATGTCTTGTGTTTGTTTCCCCTAAAAATAGACTGTGAGGCTGCTTCGACCTGATCACGCAGCACACGTTACATGTGATACAGTCACCAAATTAACAGGAGCCATGTTTGATCATCTGCCCTCCTTAAAGGTCCCGTGAGCAAAACATTATGCAGAGTAAACTTGTTTACATGTATGTATGTTTTAAAAAATAATCATTTTAACTAATCTGTTTGCTCCTTTACTTTGATATTGATTAGTCTTTTATTTTCTGCAGTGGGGAAACGCAGTACAACAAAGACGGCCTGCTGCAAGATGTAGTACGACTGAATGTGTACAGTCAGTCGTTTACAGTCTTACCGTCATCCTTTCGTCTCCCTCCATACAGGCCAGGCCATAGATTTCCCTTGTCTGAGAGCGGGCTGCAGCAGGCTGAGGCAGCCGGCTGTTACCTGAAAGATGTTGAGTGCAGTAACGTGTTTTCCAGTAACATGCTGCGGGCGCAGCAGGTGCAACGCTTCAACCTTCATTTCTAAAATGAATCAAGACACTGCAGGGCGTAGTTATTTTACTGTTTGATTATTCAACTTTATTGAGTCCATATGAAAGCATCAAAAACAAATACAACAAAACTTTATACGAGAAAAGACACACTGACATTTATTCAAATGTTTCCGAAAAACAATTCCTATTACTCTGGGTCTGGATTAGTTTAGGCTATTAGTTGGCTTGTGCATATGTCAGCCCTGTGAGGCGGGGGACTTAAAATCTAATAAAAATAAGATACATTTATAAAAAAGGTACCAGCAACGCCACCTAGTTGCGGAGTCTAGGTCTCCATAAAAACAGGTTCTTGTTCACCGGAGGAAGAACAGCATGGATCACAAGACTTAAAAGCGTGGTTTAAAAGGAGGATTTTATTATTAACTAAAAACCCATAAATAACTACAATTGTATTAAAAGTCCAGCTGGAACAAAGTACTAAAAAAGATTAAGAATTCGACCAGCCACTGCGGCTGATCCGTCCTGCCCTTTCTTCTCGTTTCCGGTTCCGTTCCGTTCCTTTCCTGCGTGAGGTGTCCAGTCCGTCTCGTTCCTCTCCTCGTTTGCACCCTGCCTGCTCGTCCGCTGTCTTGCCGTCCTCTCGCTTGATTTCCCGCGGCTTCTCCTACACGTGGCTTCACCTTTCTGTGGCTTCCCCTTCCTGTGGCTTCGGCTTTCATGCCGTGCTTAGTGTCCTTTATAGCAGCTGTGTTAATTGGAGAGGGGAGGTCCTTTCATTGTGTAATGTGGTTGGCCAGGGCTCTCTGTAATTGATTAGTCCCTCCAGGTGCATGTAGTTTACTGAAAGGTGGGTTAATATGTAAAAATGTAATAAAACAAACCACGCTAAAATGTAATAAACCAATAATATACAGAAACCACAATGTCCCCCTGGTGACACATACAGCTGCACATCGTCACCATCACTTTAATCAAACCGGATGACGTGACCCAAATATCTCATTTTACGTACCACACTCTTGGCTGATTAGATTTAATAGAAATGCACTGTCACACCTCATTGGACCGAGCGTGTCAGTTTGTGACATTTGTTCCTGTGAGCAATATTAATTGTGGCAAGAACCATGAAAAAACACCCAACTGATGTATGTTAGCATGTGCTGACTAGATGACGTCAACATGTATTATCTATTCCAGACGGTTCAAACAATAATGAAACACAACCGCAGTTGTTCTGGCTTGCAATTGGTGTGTGACCCTTTGCTTAAGGAGAAAGTGAGTGGCATTTCCTCTGTGTGATTATACAGCAAAAAGTGTGTTGTTTTTTGTTTTTTTCACGAAAAACGTTTTCCTAAGATACATTTACTCATTAATAGATACGCATGAGTAATCCAGTCACGGTCTCGTTATTTCCCAGAGCTTCGGGATAGCGGAGGGGCGGCTGGTGCAGGACGTGAGGGAGATGGCCGAGGCAGCGGGCCAGTCGTTTCCGGGCTTCACCCCTCCGAAGGGGGAGACTCAGGAGCAGGTGTGGAGGTGGCGGCCTGTGGCTGTTGAAGGAGGGTTGAGTAGCTGTTTGTCTGTCATATCATCCATCATGCAGGCATTATTTATCTCCCTTTCGTTCAGCGTGTAGTTACTCCTCACACATCAGATAACACGTGTGTCCGGATACGAATCACCACCTCACTTCAGTTCATTACTTGCATTGCAAAATATATGATTCCCCACTTTGAAATACTCCTTCCAACATAGGCAACTTAAATTAAAGATAAAACAGATTGAATGTGTTGTTTCTTTGACACACACAATCCTCTGGTTTAGCAAGAAATACTAACAATTGGTCAGAAAAAAGGAAATAGCCTCCATATTTAACTGTGGCTGTGGATCCAACCTGAATCCCCTCTAAGTGGCAGGAAAACAGTCATTTTCTCAGTCAAATCCCTTCCTCTGCATGGATGCAACAGAGGTCGCAGGGTCTCTTTGCACCCACATGATCCGTATATCATTTCGTATGTGCCGGAGCACCTGTGAGGGAGGAGGACCAAAGTACGCGCCCGTTCGTCACTGCTCCTGATTAAAAAGTCACCACTTAGCTCTGTGTTGTTTGTGTCAGAGGATGCGTGGGCGCATGTGTGAGGGGGCGTCGGAAGGAGGGATGTTCTATTCCCGAAAGACCTTCATCCATTAGTTCTCGGTTTGGATGTTAACTCCGGTGCATCCCATTACGGGACTGGCACGTGGTGGCGATGATGATGATGATAATGCTGAAAGATGGAGTTGACGTAAGCAACAGGCGCCCCAATCAGTGCCGGCTCCATGAATCCCTCCCAGCTCTGACCGGTCACCGCTTGTCGGATCCGGTTAAAACTCAAAAACCAGCTTGTGTGTGTGTGTGTGTGGTTGTTTTTTTTGTTATGGAAAAGTTTGTATCCATCTTGTGTTCATTACAACAACCCTTCCCCTTGTTGCCCTCACAGAAGCAGGTAGACACGTTTCACTGACATGTTGTGTTTTTAAAAAAATACATTACAAGAGAGAAGCATGACGCATTTCCTGAACGTCTGCTCCGTTCAGGTGACACAGCGGGTCAAAGAGTTCTTGGAGAAAACCTTCCAGCAGATCGGGGCCGAGCACTGGTGTGACAGAGGGGAGGAGGACGAGACCTCCTCCTCCTCCAATCCGTTGTCAACATCTCCTGCGGAGGGACGAGCAGACGAGGGGGTCAGAGGTTTCCCTGTCCACGCTCTGGTCATCACCCACGGGGCCCACATGTGCATGGCGGTGCGGTTCTTGGTGGAGGAGTTGGGCTGCTCCTTGCCGCCGGGCTCCGACAAAGAGCACGTCTTCGCTTTGAGTCCAAACACGGGTCTGAGTCGGTTTCTCCTCACCGTGAGAAGAGCGGAGGGCAGGTTCGCACTGTCAGCAATCCGCTGTGTGTTTGTCCACAGGAAGGGGGGGGCGTTCAAAAGTAGGAGCTAAATGAACTGCATTTTTTTTTTCAAGCTGAGTTAAAAGTAAGACGTGCCGTGTGGAAAGTTTCCTAGCTGTTGAAAACCAGCTTATTTTTAAAAATGCGGTCTGAAAAAAGAATGATTTATTTAATTTCCAGGGTATGTGATGCTGTTTTGTGAGATTTTATTTCCACTCGTAGAGCATTTGTGTTGCAGTGCTCACGTCATCACGTCTCTGGCTGTTCATTACTGTAAGTGTGGGCAGCTTTTTGCTCTAATGAGTCCATGTTTCTATATATATTCTCCGGAAGTTCAAAAATCCTAAGTAGGAATAAGGAGCAGAACTGCAACAGTGTTGACTTTTGGGGAATCAGTGACTTTCTCATTGTTGGGAATTAACACCTGCACAGAAAAAGTGCAAGCACGTGGTTTCTGTACTTTATTCCACTCTCAGCTGTTCTGTTCTCTGTGACCCTGAAATTGAAAAAAACAAGGTACGCTGTCTCACTTGAGCACGTCAGTATATTTCCAAAACAAGAAAATGTTCTGTATTATGGTCAGGTATCTGAGGAAACTTGGGAAAAAAGATAGTTTAAATATGAATTTAAATAAAACATTAAGTCTAAATTGGTTCTCATTTGTTCAAGATCCAGAAACACATCCTCGCCTACACTGGTTCCATTGAGTGTGAATGCTCCTTCACTTGCATCATGTCTACGTTCCTTTAACATGTATTATTTCTCTATTTGCCAGTTGCATAACCAATTGGCTGTGTGCATAACAACACTGTGATTTGTGTGGCCTTTCCATGTCAGATGATTGGTTGATGGGAGAAAAGACTTTGCAGCAATGCGTCTGTTTGTTGCGTGAATAGGCCATGAACATTGGAAATGTTCAACTAAAGCCTAAGTGTAGTTAATTAGAATTGACCTCATAAAAAATTTGAACCTAAAAACCGACAATTGGATAAACCGAGTCCAGACATTGTGCACCAAGTAGTTAACGTTTATTGTTTCACATAAGAAGTAACACAACATGAACTGTATAAATAATAATATAGGCTAAGAAGGAAGTCTTTTTACACATTTCAATAAATAAATACCCTTTCCTCTCTGTGATTATTGGTGTCCGGCACCTGACGTGATTTGATTCTGTTCATGACTGTGTGATCTAAGGAAACGGCAGATTCTTTTCTTCAGCGTGTGCTGGTCTTTTTTTGTTTAGTTAGTAAACAGTAAAAGTGTGGAGCTTTACTGCCCCAACAAATGCGTGTATAAAAATTCACAATTACTTGCAGATTACACATTTTCACATTTGCAAAACAAACATTGCCACATCCAACCCGAGGGTTTAAAATTTAACTTGACGGAAGAGGTCAGCAGGACGCCGGCCCAAACTTTTTCAAAGACCAGATGTGAACAAACTGCTGTGACATAACGTGTTACATCACGGAGCAAGATACCACCATTCAAACAATCTGAACATGCGATGATTTAATAAAGTGACTTTTTGCTTATAAACCAAAGCTCAGTCTCTTATTCCTGTTCTGCTCGGTCTGCAATATTAGTCTTGACAGGGCTGACCGGCCCGTTGGGCTGGAGGACCCGCAGGGGGTCATCGCAGGAGGTGATGGTCTCCTTGGACACAGCGCCGGCTTGGTCCTGATCGGGCTGCCGGTGGTCTACATCCTTGTGGTCCTGGGCAGAATGCGAGGGGTGTGAATGTGACCTTAATGGATCGGAGGGGTTCACCGCATCGCTCCTCCTCCATCTCTTCACCGAGGGGCCGAGGAAGCGCTCCACCAGGGAGGAGGAGGAGAGTTTGGGGGGCTGCCGGTAAGCGACTCCCAGCTCTGACCCCAGCGGCCCAAACGGCCGCCGGCCCACGCTTATGGAGTTAAACACGTCATGGGGGTCCGCCGCGTCCAACCAAACGGGCTGGAAGAGACAATCGTCTGCGTCCGCTTGTCTCTGTTGGGAAAAGAAAAAAAAGCAAGAAAATACAAAATGTGACTTTTTTTCCCCCCCTGCAGTCATTTCTTGATTTCAGTCAAATGAAATGCAATACTCACATAGCTGTACGGATCTCCCGTTGAGTCTATACAGAGGAACCTTTTTCTGCGCAAATCAAATATTGACACTAGGTTGCTGGTAGCTGTTCTTACTGGCAGAATTACTGTAAGAAGAAGGTTTAAAGATGCAAACATCAGTTACGAACGACAAAGCAACATTGTACGTATCGCAATGTTAAGAGTTCTGACATAAACATGCAAAATATGTGTTGTTTGTCAACATCACAACATATATTTGTTCTTTTATACAGTATTCATGTACTTCCAAACTTTGATCAGGCACACATACATTTCTTGTGCATTTTGTTTTACATTTACGCAAATACACAAATATATAAAAAGCATGCAATTACCCTGTTAGTAAAAGAAATGAAGTAAGCCTAGCAATTATTGCTCAAAAGGAATTTTCTATTACTATTTGGTTTATTTTCAACCAAATGATCTGCATTGAAATGAGCTGTGTTTTTTCTTCAGGACGTGGACAAACTTACCAAAAGAGTTTCTGTAAAGGCCTTTTCTCGTTGATCCACTGGGCTCCCAATAGAAAGGACTGGTACCAGCCAACGTATCGGCACGTGCGCCCGTCTGGAAGCTCCTCCGCTGATGTTGCACCAGGCGCGTTGGCCCCCGGAGCCTCGGTGCACAATCCACCGACAGAGACGCGTGTACGGCAATCAGGACGAGTGAGAAGAAAGCCGGCTGCATGGTCGATGGCGAGGCCGCGCTCTCTTTGCTCCCAACAGCACGAACGTTCAGGTTGGCATGTGAGCAGCTACTGAAGGAGGAGAAAGTCCAACAGGCCTGTTTAGACAGAGGGTCAATGAACTGGTGGACTCATTTACCAAAATGACCCAAAGGCTACCTTTTCCTGGGATAAGAGTCTTCTGGAATGCCTGCAGGCTGCACTGGTGGAGCATCTGAACTATTTTAACTGTGTCAGAGGACTGCAAACCTTTGAAAACTTCAAAAATAAAGATTAAGCTTGAAAACTCCAAAGGAAGCAGAAGAGAGAGGACAAAGAATCAACTAAACCCGTGTGTCTGATCAAGAGGAAGAAGGTAAGAACTTTCCAAACTAATCGCATACTCATTGTTTGACTTGGCGTTTGTTTGGTTTAGTACTTTGAATATCTCGTTGGTCAGAGTAACATTACTATTAGTATGAAGTACAACTCTGATAATGACCCCAGGCCAAGAAGAGCACATTATAGCAACTATGAGTGATGCACCTCACGATGACTATTATATTCTGCTACCTTGCATAATAGTTACATGCTGCCTCTCGTTTCCTTTCACCAGTGTACATTTCCAAAAGCTTTGCTCCATTTATAGATTTTTTAAACTATTCTATTGCCCCATGGAAAATAAGGCTCTTCACTCCTGACCTTGATTGACTGATAGGCGATAGTTTTTGATATAGTAGTTTTTTTTCCAGAAGGTTGAACTTAAAAAAGAAAAACAAACCATTTGCTTATTGATGAGGGGAACAAACAGGAACGGTGGTACTGAGTATCACTTTTTTATTCAGGTTTCTTGTTCATAAATTATGTTTCCTGGAAGGAGCTGAGTGCTAATAATAGGTGAAACAGAGACGAAGGTCTGACTGAGTTATTTTTAGTTTGCCGTGTTGAGTTCATATTCAGAGAAACTACCTTAAAAGAACTGCTCTGTTTATCCCGAGTAAATCTATAAAAAAAAACATTAGTTCATGATCTGAAACTTTATTCATGTTGTTGCTGACATGTATGCGTCCTTGAACAATTAGGCCATTTTTGTACATTCAGCTGATCTGCTGAGCACTGCCTTAAATATTTTACATTATGTCAATTTATTGTTTCATTCAAATCAAGTCAGATGTTATACCAATTAAACACTTAAATGTGTCCTGGAAACTTACTTTGAAACTCCAGGAAATAGCGCAATTAAAGAAACTGCAGTCGTTTCATTTTTATACATCTGCTTAAACGTCCCTCCAAGCGTGTCCCTTCACCAGGAGAGGGTGCCGCATACCCACTCATAATATCCACTCATAATACCCACTCATATACCCACTCACATACCCACTCATATACCCACTCATAATACCCACTCATATACACTGTAACAAATTGCTGTAAATTTACAGTGCATTTCTAACGGTATCCTACGGTATGTCATAATAACTGTAACATACAGTTAAATTCCAATCCCTTGCTTGTAAATTAACGGCCAATGTCATGAATAAGCAGTTAAACCTGTCAATTTACAATAATAGCAGACTACCGTAATTCAACTGCATGTTACATATATTTTATATAAGTGGTGGAAATACACATACAAGTGCAGTGAATCACAATCCATCTACATCAGTTGTAGGTTAATGTATGGAAGCCCATGTCAGCCACTGAAAAACAGGTCCTGTAAGTCATCATAATGAATATCTCATGAGATACGATGATGACTTTGACTTACAGGACATTACTATACATGCAGCTGTCACTTTTATCCAAAACGCCCATGGTTTGACATAATTGAATGTGGAGTAATTGGGGGTTAGGTGTCTTGCTCAGGGACACTTCGACTTGGCACAGGGAGCAGCCAGTATTCGAACCGCCGACCTGTGCACAGCACACCCTCCCTATCCCATGCGCCGCCTTCGATGTCATTTCAGTAGCCGGAATGTAAAGATTAGAAATATTTGAATTATTCAAAGTGTTCATTGCCTAAAAGTGATTTGAGTGTTAATCGTGACCGACTGTTCCTGAACGTGACATCAGACGCGTAATCTCAGTTCATCCAGAACACCTGTGCGTTTCAACATCGGAAGAGTTTCTCATTGCCGGTAACATTCTGGTATTAATAACACAAAAAAACAGTAATCGTATGGTAACAAACTGTAATCAAATATATGACAACATACTGTATATTACGGTAAATAAAACCGTAAGTTACTAGTGTCGACTGCCAGTAAATTGCAGTTAATTCACAGTAAAATGGGTTCAAGTTTCCGGTAACATACAGTAATCCATTTTACGGTGTAAAAAACATTTACGATATTATACCGTAAAATAACGGTAAATTTCTGGCGTCCTTGCTGCCTGTAAAATACCGTTAATTTACGGTGACATTTTTTACAGTGTACCCACTCATAATACCCACTCATATACCCACCCATAATACCCACTCATATACCCACTCATATACCCACCCATAATACCCTCTCATATGCCCACTCATAATACCCACCCATAATACCCACTCATAATATCCACTCATGATACCCCCCTCAGTGACTTTGGCTTGATGTCTAATCAAAGCTCCTCCTGTCATCTGTGTTCAAGCCTCAAGCAAACACACAACTTTAACGCACTGAATCACAACAGCTTTAACAAAAGGTCTTTAATTATTATTAAATTATTATTAATTATTATCATCTCAGGAATACAGTTGACTGCTGTGCACAGCACATACGTACAAAAATAAGAGGAAAACCATTTGCTATATGGTATTTTAGTTACTCATTATTGTATTTTTCAGAAACAAATGATTGGAGAAGTCTGTTGTCTCACACTAATTTACAATCATTTCAATAATCGGAACTAAGGCAGAAGGTGAGGTATATGTTAAAAAAGAGGAGGGGGACTCAGAGGAAGCACTCTACCCTCAGTGCAGGAATAGAAAACTGAAACACAAAGGCTGCTGGCACACAGGGACACACACACACACACACACACACTCAGTATGGAATGCCGTTTTAGTCAAAATTAAATAAATGAATAAATACATAAATACATGAAATATGCATTTTAAATCGATTTGATCTGCTAATGCTAGCATGCTACCTCGGAGCCCACCGATGTCTTCCATTATGTCAACACTCACGTCCCTTAGCCAGCCTTCTTTTGCACACGGCTCTGTTGTCTGTTCTGAATGTTAGATGTAGCCACGGCCCCTGATTTGCATATAAGAACGTGAAATTATGAAAAAAAACGGCATTATGAAATAAGTCTCTGGAAATGAAAAACGGCATTATGAAATAAAAGTCTCTGGAAATGAAGTTGGCATTATGAAATAAAAGTACCATGAAATAATTAAATGTATTTAATATTCATGTATTTATTGCTTCATTTATTTATTTCATGATGTATTTCAAATGCATATTTCATGTATTTATGTATTTATTCATTTATTTAATTTTGACTAAAACGGCATTCCATAACTCAGGAGCTCTCTCACGTGTACACACACACACGTTTGAACCCAGATCCTTCCATGGACCTCCGGTTCCCTGTGAGCCTGAAACACATTTTAAAACCAGCTGAAGGTATGAGAAGCACAATGGCAAAATCCAGACACTGGATCCTTAATCAAAGGGCGGAACACACACGTAGTCCATTCTCCGTATGCATTAAGGAGGCGTCAGTGTTAACGGATGGTGTACCAGTGACAACCACGCTCTCAGTTTCCACTGTATCGTTCAACCTCTTTCTGCCTCTCGAAACGTATCAGGTGTCCCTTAGTAGTGAAGGGAGCCATTGTAACATTACAATTCCCACTCGAGTCATCGCTTCTTGTGCCGGGTAGCGTCCTCTGAAACATACCATAATAAATCAGAAACTACATCACGTAATAATGACAATGTTATCATCGAAAACAAGTGTATCTAAGAGCTTGTTTTGATGGAAGCTGAGCAAGGGGAAACAGCATGTACCCCATGCTCAGTAAATATTATCTAAAATAAAAAATGAATATTGTAATATTTAATATTTTGACAAACTAGCAAAAATACTTCTCCAGCCAAATCCTCACTGCCACAAAATCAATTCAGAGAAAAATAAAAATAAAAATAAAAATCTGATCATAGTGAAGCAATAAATAAAATCACAATTAATGTGATGCTCAAGGGAAGAAAAAGAAAACCAACACCATTATCAAAGGTGTCAGTACTCAATAACAACAAAAGGACGGTCATTCTCCTGGATCACAGTATTTACCGCACAACTTGTTGACCTCAAGTGTCCCTTTCCTGGAAGCATTTGATTCTCTATAAGTAGACATTTTGCTACATAACGACACGCTCAAACCACAGGCGGTGCTTTCTTTTCTTTCACACGTCCCTCCCGCCTCGTCCTCCTCCTGTGAGGAGAGTACAGCACATCAGCTCGCACAGACTCTGCCCCGTTATTCCTGACTCGAGGTAAATCTATCTGATACCATCTCTGCTGTCGCTTTGGCAGAAACAGGACATCAGGACACATGCATGTAGAGACACACACACACACACACACACACATACACACATGCTTACAAAGACTCCAGATAGCACTCCGTCATCTCTGCCACTAGACATAAAAGCTGGAGCTTAAAGGGCACGTAAACCATTGCTCACAGACATTTTGTCAACGCGTTGCAGTGATGTTCGAAAGGGCATGAGGTGATATATGATAACTATACAACTCTAATAGCCATGCTACGTTTCTTTCATCATATGACACCAAACTGGCCTGAGTGCTGGTTCGCTACTGACAGGATATTGCCGATCAAGTGCCGAAATAGCAAAACGTTTCTCAAAATCATAAAGATGAAATCTAGCTCTCTCACGCCACATTTCCACAGTAAAAAGACTCTGCTCGGGAGAACGAGAAAAGTGCAGAATCCTTTACGTCTTTGTTATACAGTACAAGACAACCATTCACGTCTTGAACAAGACATAGCAGGCGCAGAGCTCTGTGACCGACTAAAGCCGTTGAGATGGACCAGAAAACGTGCCTCGGTCAGTAACACAAAGGCCAGGAAGCACAGGTCTTCGACCTTGGTACAAAAATGGCTCAGATGAGCGGGACAAGAATCCCAGGGCCCTCAACCGACGAGGGGCACGCTAAGTGTGATGCTCAGGTATTTTACCCCACATTATTCACATCCTCGCCAAGTTAAGCAAACAACCAGTGCCACATGCCGAGTGCCATCTAAGTCATCCGCACATCATTGCTATCTTCAACTTTGCTCGCTCTTTGTCCTCCTCGCCCCCTTCGTCTCTAAAAGAGGAGCCCGAGCAGTTGTTGAATTCAAGTATGGTATGCTGCATACACAAAGCCCGGAGGAACCTTGCCTTTATAACCCTTTGGTTCGCTGCGTTTGGCAAAATTGCTTGTCTTTCTTTGTTTGCAAGAAGCCATCCTGTGACTCAGCGGCCAATCTCAAAATGCGCTAAAAGATCTGGGACCTGTGAGCGCGATCGACATCTTCTAAATGTCCGACGGACTAAGTTACCTGAAGTATTGTTCACATATCCCAGAATCATTAACTCACAAGTAATTCAAGTTCCCTCCAAACCAAACCAGAGAATCTACACTATTTCAAATGAATGCAGTGAACCATCATTTTTACAGGTAATTGAGCACTCAACGATGTTCACTGAAACACCAACACCAGACTTTAAGCTCCAAACATCATCAAACCCGTGTGAAAGTCACACAACTCCCATCTTCACTTTTAAATATGAAGGCAAGGCTCCAGACCAGAAGCGCCAGATTCTGACAATGAAACCGAACTCAAGGAAAATATACAGGAGGGCATTTCGTTTCATACTGTCAGGTCTGGTATATTCTGTATATTCTGTTACACAGAAGCACCCTTGACCTCGGACGATGAAAAAAAAAGAAAGCCTTTCAAATTGAGGAGCTCTTAAATTGAAAAAGTCCACATTTAGACTTGAAAGTAACGCATGCCGACATATTTACTAAAAAGTCGCACATTCAATCTGGCCTGATGATCCGGTCACAACATTTGTGTGAATAAAACCTGGGATTGTGAAGCTCCCTTGGAAATAATAGGGGGCGGATGGGTACCGACTCAAATCTAGCTTCCCATATTAACAACAGGCCTCCACTGGGTGACTGTGCAGCATAGTCTTGATTCCGTAATTGGTCTAATTATGGAAAGCAAATAAAGTGGAGAAACCTCCGGCCCTCTAGGAATTGGGCTCAGGCCTCCTGGTGGTGTCTGAGGAGGCAACCACTTGTGTTTCATTCCTATTTCTGACTTGAGCTCCATGTTTCTCGCATGCAAGGGCAAGGGGGGGGCGGGGGGGTGGGGACGCAAGTAGGAACTCAAGGCACCGCCACCTCATGACGAGGCATGAACAAAAAAAACACACCGCCATATTCGCAAGCGCCCTAGTTGCCCTGACAGTGACAGAGACAGTTGAACTT